TAATTCCGCGAGGCCGTGCTCTGGAATGAACTAGTTATTATGACAGAATTTTCAGGGAGTCACGCGGACTCCTGCATATGTCAAATCAGGGAGTCCGACAGTAAATCAGGGAGTATTTGTCTCCGGACTCGCGTTAGTTTCGCACCCTGCATACTGTGTGTGTGTGTGTGTGCGTGCGTGCGTGCGTGCGTGCGTGCGTGCCTGCGTGCGTGCGTGCGTGCGTGCGTGCGTGCGTGCGTGCGTGCGTGCGTGTGTGTGTGTATATATGTATATGCATGTGTGTGTGTGTGACTCTGACAGCTGCTCAGTATGGCAGATAGTGTTGACAACATCGACCCCCCCCCCAACAATCGCCACGTTGCACCTTGTAAGAACGTAGAGAACAGCAGCTCCACCTGCTGGCACTTGTCAACGACCTTCATGAGGTCGTACATGAAGGGCACGTAGGTGATGCTGGGCTGGGCTGTCGCGCGCTGCAGTGGCGTCCCCAGTGTCGGCTGCAGCAGGTCTGGGTGCGCGTCCTTCTGACATAGCAGGTTAAGATGCTCGAAGACGAGAACGGTCGAGATGCACTCGTGGTCGATCGGAAACAACTGCCGCACGAAAAACAAAAGAACTGCGTGATCGCACGAGTCATCTGTAGATTTATTTTTTTATTATTATTTCACAATTATTTTTAGATTACTCTTATTAATTTTTTAACATGGCTATTTTAACATTACTCTCATTATTTATGTTTATTAAAAAGTGTATTTTAATTCTCAGTTAATTTTTTAATCCAATTTAATTTTGACATTGATTTTGTTCCCTGGGTGAGGCGGGCGGCCTTGGCAAACTTATAAACACTATATACGCAATGTAAAATTACATTGTTAGTCAGCAACTATATGTTGCTTTGCTTCTTCCTTGGCTGTTTTGAGGGACTGTTTTACGGCTTTGAGTTTAATTTTCATGTTTACAATAATTCGACTGCGCGTGCTGGTGACGTCAGAGCCGTAGCAACCGCGTTGCTGTGACAGGCTGTGTTTTACAGGGTGATGTACGTATAGCGTAGTAGTATATACGTAGTAGCTGCCATCATTATCTGTGCTTGGTACGATTTCATCATCCGCACAGCATATTGCACCCTTAAACGTGTGTTTTTCATTTCCTTTTCTGTTTTTTTTTACTAAAAAACAGTTGCTAACGATGCTAAAGGAGGAATTTCCGCAGTTACAGCCTGGCAGTGTGCATAGCTATTCATTTTCACATTTTGTTTAAAACAAATAGTGTATGTATTATGAGGTCTCTGATAATATTGCAAATAAACTGTGGAATTTAATATGTAGTGTTGTATGCATATAGCAATTACTAAAAAATAATCAAATTTATACACGGTAATGGCAATCTTCATTATGCAACCTTAACTTTAGCTAAATTTTCAAAGCTTTGAATAGTGATTCTCATGTATTTAGAATATTTTCCTCATGCAACTATACGTGACATATGGCTTGTAGTTGTAGGTGTCCATCACCATCCAAAGGTCAAATGCTATCTCATCAGAGAAGCGCATCGATCTAGTTTACGCATTCCATCTCTGCACGATAAACAAATATTTGCTCGCGATCTGGGTGTGTAGTTTGCCGAGATGATAAGCGCATCATTTTAATGTCACGTGCTTTTTTTCTTCTTCTGTATTCCGCGTAACAGAAGTTCAAACGGTTAAAATTTCGCAACTTCTGTCGTGACAAACTGCCAACGAATTTCGCAAGAACCCCATCTCTTATCGCGTCTTAGGTAAACCCTACATGATGCAGGTCCTCAAGTAGGGCATTGAAGGTCTGCACTATCTGCACATCTAATACGACTGGGGCTTATGCAAGTGATGTTATCATTGTTGACTCACTCTACATCTGTCTGTAACGTCCACAGGGGGAGGGGAGGTGGAGGGGAGGATAAGAGGGAGGGGGAGGGGTGACAACTAAACAACTACATTCGCATCATGATTTACTACCATCGCTCCAAGAAAACAGGCACGCGCGAGTCAATAGCAACGCCATTGTTCTCACGTTCTTATCAGCGACTACAATGTGGGGGAGAAGTTTTACATACATTCGGCTGTGTGCCAAGGATCGATCGGCACGGGCGTTTAGATATCGAAATCAAATTCATCGAGTCATCGTTTAAATATCAAAATACAATTTCATGAATGTATCAGTATATCGTAATGCATTTGGGAACAGTTTTCATGTGCAAACCGGTAAGCGAGTGGATGGATACACTGACTAATCGTATATCGTTATCACGCATCAACTTACAATAATAATATGAGTAGCTTATAATTAAGCATTTCTCATTATCTTGCTCTTGAGATTAACAATGGATGAAAGAAACGCAAAGTAAGCACGACTTCTATTAAGATTGTGATAAGAAATCGATGAACCAACATTTGTAGATAGATATATGTTTTATCACATATGTGACATTTGAAATTATTTGATTATACAGCTCCTATGTACATTTTCTGCCTTTAAAAAACTAAATGTGGATACATACACAGGGGGGGGGGAATCAGTTCACTGTCACTTTGAAGATAAAATGTTAAAATACACATTAAAAATACTAATCGTTGACAAAATAAATAAATAATAATTGATTGCTAAATTTATCTGATGATCATGATGCTAATGGACAATATAATTTTGATATAATAATAAATTCACATTGAGTGTATGTCAAGCTCATATAATGGATATACTGGATTGCTACCCGTATTATGTAAATGATTCATTATGTAATTACATTACATAATTACATTTAATTACATTATGTAATGTAATTGTTGTTTTAGTGGCACTTCTGTTGTTGATTGTGATGATGTAGTTTTAATGTTATTGACATTCGTGCTACGATCTGTTTTGAATTGACGTGAGCGGTAAACGATACCGATACACGTGCTGTGTAACCAAACAGTTACGATTATCACTTATTAACGATCTTTAGCAACTAAGGATCAATATAAATAACGGTCAGCATTGCTTTACAGGGTCCTGGTTAGCAACCAGTGATGTGCGCACACACCTAATTGTAATACAAGTGAGTTCACACATATTACTGAGGGCCACAGACAACCGTGTAGTAGACCTCCTGCCGCGTGTATTCAATGTGCAAAAGCTAATAACTGCTCGTTCTCTTGAAATGGATGCATTGCATTTCATTTCTTAGGAAAAAACGAACGTCATATTTCCCCAATTATGGTACTACTCCCACTTATTTCCCCCTCCCTTCCCTTCCACACAGTATTGGTCATGGTGATGATAGTTAAGGTCATGAAGAACGCGCAAAGGTAAAGCATTGCGTCATCGAAGATAAGTGGGGCGATATCCCCGATTCGTACTAGTGACCTTCCAGCGGTCACAACATTAGGGCTGCCCAACATGGTGACGTCGAGGATGACGTCATCACATCGTGGGAACGATGACGACGTTACAACAGTACGACCACTCACAAGGTGACCTTGTGGGTGATGCCACAATGTCACGTGCATTCACTAGTGATGTCACAGCGCCGCCACCTTGCAGATGACGTCACAGCAGTGTGACCCTGCGGGTGACTTCACACCATGGTGACCCCCGCACGATCGTTTGCTCGCTCGCGCCCTCTCCCATCACCTCCCACTCACGCTCGCTTCTATGACTCGTGGTGTGGGCATTGAGGAACAGTGCAGGAGTGCGATATGAAAGTGTGAGAGTATGAGAGATTTATATGAGTATTAGATGTGAAATGTTACGGTGATCGCACGCATTTGGTGCAATCCTACTTACTAATCACTAGAAGCTATTGCAACGTAGCATCACGAGTTCGATGTAGAAATGATATAGAAGGAACCCTTCTATATCATTTCTACATCGAACTCGTAATTCTACGTTACACTATCATCATCTCCCTTCTCTTATAACTATAGTTCTAACCCTGCCCCTTATAACTATACACCTATAACCTTATATGCCCTAACCCTGCCCCTTATAACTATACACCTATAACCTTATATGCCCTAACCCTATAACCCCCATCGCTACCCATACAACCACAACTCAATACTTAACTTAACTTATACTCAACTTTATACTTTCTAATAATGACCATATCACAATCCCAAACCCTAATACCAATTCTATACACCACATCCCACACCACACCAAAATCCAACCACACCCATAACCTCTTACCGTAACGTTAAGCCTATAACACCTAACCCTAACCAAACACTAACGCTAATCTAACCCAACCCTCACCATGTATGTACACACGTCCTAATGAAGTATTAACCTTATTATTGTAACACGAAGTGGAATGTGAATATTGGAGCATCAATGAACAGATGAAAACACCATGTACACAGACTAATGGCTGCACCATCACAGTAACTAGAGCTGAGAAGGTCTATGTCCCCCAGGGTACTGCCGGAACGTACCCTGGTACTATCTAATATGCCGGACCGTACCTCGCCTACTCCACTAACGAGTCTAGGGAGTCGCCTACGCCTACTCCCTAAATAGATAGATAGATAGTCAGCATGCGTGGTAATCTCTTGGTGATGTTAGTCTGACTGGGAACTAGTTAATAGATAGAAAGCTAGCTAGCTAGATAGATAGATAGTCAGCATGCGTGGTAATCTCTTGGTGATGTTAGTCTGACT